TTTCTGCCCACATATCAACGCAATAACTTCTACATTGAGGATTTTGTTTATATTTTAGTGATCTGCGAAACTAAGAGTGTCCGATCGAGCGAGGGTTTTGAAATATCAGCTCGAGTGCGACAAAGTTCAGTGACTTCAAACACATTGTGGGCAAGCGTTAATTTTTTTGGGCAAATCACTGTCCAAAGATATGTTGTTTTTGTGTCCACAGAGGAGCTCCGGACCTTATATATCCAGGAACTTCCTTATATGAACACATTTTGTGAATGCATCTTGAAAAAAATCCGACCTACGCATGCACATTTAAAGTACAACGCAAGGAAATAAATGTCGTTAAAGTCCGTTTTACTATGAGGTATTCTTCGAGAAAATTAAGTAACTACAAGGTTATAACCACAGCTTGCAACTTTTGAAGACAAATTGCCTGTTCTTTCCAGGTTATGAGTGGAAACATTTTATTTTTGGGCAATAAAATATTTGAAATCCCGCCATTTTTTCAAGCCCGGCCAGGGGATCTGGGGAAAAAAGTTCACGCATGCTCATTACGTTTTTCCGCCCTGAAGGCGGGCTGAGGGCGGTGTACGGTCACGTGATTACCAAATTTTCTGGGATGGGTAGATTTACTTACCCATGGTGCTCCGCAGGCGCGCTTCGCGCGCCAGAGCTCCGCTATGAAGTACCTACCTCTTGAAGAAGACGTGGCTACCAAGCTTCACGTGCGTTATTGCTTCGGTCAATTCTTGTTTGGGTGCTTAAGATTAAACATTTCAATTTAAAATGCTCATTTTAAGGAATTGATGATGGACGTACAGTTGAAACGTAAAAAGAGGAAATTGTTGAAACGAAAGCTGGGCCCCATTGATGGAGCAATCGACAAAGGTAAGAGAGGCTAGATGATCCGCGCTGGTATGCTCCGAAGTTTAATACAGCTGTCCGTTGAATCTGCCTTGAATCCTATCACAGTTCAGTTCAATTTTGCAGGCCCGAAAGCAAAGAAACAAAAGGGTACAAAGAAAAGTCGAGGAAAGTTAGAAGAAATTGTTAACAAGGTCGAACAAGGTACACCAGAATTCTTTTGCCACAATATTCTATCTTAGCTTACGTTTGGGTAATAATGTTCTGAACTGTTTTACTACTTATCCATCATAATCAAGCACCAGCTCTTCAAAACGTGTGCAGGTTTTCAGTGGTAAATTAATGGACTGATCATGAATGAATATAATTGGTTCGAAGCCGATTAATAATTCTTTTTATTATTCCTTTTTCTAGAAAATGGTGATCAGGTTTCGACCAATGATGAGTCGCAGCCTGAACAAAATGGTAAGTAGTCATGATTAATCACAAAGTAATATGCTGCAAAATTACTTGGTATCATCACAGGTAGCCCAAGCTCGAAATATGAGCATCACATGATGCTCATATTTTGAGTTTGGGCTACCAGTGGTATCATTTTTGAACAAACCCATTATCTTTAATGAGGTAACCTGTTACAATCAAACCCAGTTAATACAGACACTGAGGGGACCATAGAAAGTGTGCGTATGGAAGCCAGTGGCTTCGCCCCATGGTGAGTTCACCCTCAACTAGTTTGCCCCATACCACTGATCAATCATATTAGCACATAGTGAAATAGCCTCATTTAGAGTTTACACCACAATCCATCACCCATTTCAATTTTAACTACCGTACTCACCTTGTACCAAAAGATTGTTTTGATGTAAACCGTTATCGGCTGAAGCTTTCCATACTTGACATAACCTTACTTTTCCAACTTTTTGCATGTGAAGTGTCGGCAGAGGTCAGTTGTTCGAAATGGCTTTAATTGATCCAGTTTGACTCAATTTCACTTCACTCTTTGATTACAAACGCAACTTAAACATTTTAAAGGGGATGCTGTTTTCACGCAGTTTTTTTTATCAAGGTCATTGATTTCGAGACAACAGTTACGGCCAACCAACCATAAAATTTCCTAACTTTGATTAGAGATTTCCTTCGATAACCTAAGCCAATTCACAGGTATGCTTTAAATAAAATGTAAATGTGTGATTTGACTAGAGTTTGGAGTTATACCATTCCATGGTGAACTTAGAAAGTAGGGGGCGAACTTGTAGGGGGCTAATTCACTAGGGGATGAACTCACTGATATCTGTCCGTATTAACAGGGTGTCCTTATTAAGCAGGTTGAGTTTTGAGAATATGTAGGGGTTTTCTTTCCCCAGGGATAAAGCAAACTGTCCGTAATAATGAGGTGTCCGTATTAAGCGGGTGTTTATAAAGTGGGGTTTGCCTGTATTTTTTTAAAATTTGTATTGAAGTGCTGATCAGTAGACATTTGTTTTGAATTACTCTTTTTTGGTAATTTCAATTATCAATTTCCTTTTGAAAACAGACCTCTTTTTCTGTGCATTTTTTAAAAACTATCTCAGAAGTTTATTAGTTCAACACTGAGATTTTAAGATTATATGACAACTTCAGTTGCTATGACAACTTAAACAGTAAACTGTACTCAGTTCTTAGTAGACATACAGTGACTAGTAATGATTTTTTCTGAATCTTTTAATGTAGGTACCAAATCCACTCGTATATCAGATGGTGATAGCTTAGAGCCTGCCACAAAAAAGAAAAGGACTTCATATGAGAGTGTGAGCTTACCTGAAGGTAGGTACAGTGTAGTGTTAAGTTACATATACAGTACAATGCTGTTAATACAAACACCAAGGGGACATCTGCCATAGTGTCCGCTGGGTGTCCATGTTAGGTAGGGTCTCTAAAAAAAATGTCATGGACACGTTTTATTGATATAAAGATGCAAAGGATCAATGACTGAAGCAAAAAGCCAAGGTAGTGGAGCTTGGGTTCTGATAGGAGAAGGAAAACTTTATTAACAGACTACAGTAAATGGGTCAAACATCTGAAGAAAGGTGGACTAATTAAAGAGGCCCTGTTAGGGTTAAATTCCCACAAGTGACATGGCTATAAAACTGCGACACAAGACAAGATGAAGTAGTAACAAACAACATGAAGATGAGCTAAATACTGACAGGGACATGGCTTTCTCTTCAAAACATGAAACAATTGTATTTGAAATTCAGACTAGGGGCATATGTAACCCAGTTAAAGGGGCCTCATCAAAATCAAACATGTCCCAATTTTTTGATTATGTTTTGTTAAAAGTACAGTCAAAGCCTGCTAATACAATGTACGGACACTGAAGTGTCTGTATTAAGTGGGTCATGTTTTTAAAGTCAAAAATACACCTTTAAGTTGATCAAAATACTACAGATTCTGAAGTAAAACAGGACACTAGCATCATCAAACTAAACACCTCTAAACTTCACCACGCTGTTATTCCACGGACTGCTCCATGAAAACACTCAAAAGTCTCGAGTCGCTCATTATACATTACGTAATCAAAAACCGTTCTCTCCACAGGGGGGTTCGATTTTAATAAGATCATGTTAATTACCTGTTGAAATCTTTCATTATTTGAACAGGGTACAGTGTCTACTCTAAGTACATAATAATTTTTATGACTTAAATATAAAAGGCGGTTAGTAGATAAGCAGTGTCCGTAAAGTGGGATTGATGACATATGAAAGTTGGTGTCTGCCTGACCTGGGACACAGAAAAGTGTCTGTTGTTGGTATTAAGTGGGTTAATTTTAGAGAAAATATATGAGCTTTTCATCGTGTCAAACAAGACTGTCGGTTATATATATATATATGGGTGCTGTACATGCACAAATTTATACTTCTATTGGTTAAGGTAGTGGTACATATAAATTACCTGCACTGGCAACCCAGTTGTCCAGAGCTTACTGTAGATTACCCTTTTGTCAAAATTTATTTTTAAAAAAGGCAAAAAAAATTATCAAAAGTGTCATACAAAATAATGTAATCCTAAAGTGGTCTCATTTGAATGGTTACATCCACAGGGTGTTCAGGGCTCGAACTTAACTTTTTAGTCCACTAGCAAAGTTTTGCTAGTAAGATTTTTCTTTACTAGTAAAAGTAGGAATCTCACTAGCTATATTTCAATGCAGCCATTTTCCCTTTGAGGACTAAACCAATGTAAAGATTAATTTCAGCGATCTGAAAATTAAAAATAAATTGAAAAAAATGTGTATCAAAGCGTTAATTTTGTGGTCTCCTTTGCCGCTGTCCTGACATCCACCACCTATTTACTGCAGCCCTTGGGTGATAATCAGCTTGTTTCTTTGGCCCCTCAATTTTTACTCTCATCAGCATGTCCATGGTATCGTTCCCCAGTGTACAACGCCAGTCTGACTTGACCCTTTTCATTGTGGAAAATCCTCGTTCACATGAGGCATTAGCCAAGGGATATACTGATGTTAAATGGATAACCTTCATGATGTTGGAATAGTTATTCCTTTCTACATCCTCCTGGCTGATTCTCTGCCATAGACTCAGTGGGTGTAAAAATCGAGGTCGAGGGCCTCTTAAAAAATGCGGTTATTTTAGACATATCTTCAAACAAAAGCTGAAAACCTCACAAAGATGAAAATCACCAAATCAACTCTGTGCTCACCCACGAAGAACGCAAACGCGCAGCTAAATTGAGCATAGGTTATACATAAAACCACTGACCAGTGACTGACATGAAACCTGCATTCTTTCTCGTAATACTCAATGTTTTCGTGGTTTTTTGCCACAAAATTCTCCAACAGCGTTTATTTTTTTAATCGAAATTCTACTGGAAAAATACCGGTACTCGCAAATGTTTGCTAGAGGATATTTTTTAGACTCGCAACTTCAAAAAACCACTCGCATTTCGCGAGTTTGCGAGTGCTAATTTCGAGCCCTGGGTGTTGTTCACAAACATAGTTCTAAGTAATGTCAGAAGTACTTTTCTTGTCTATATGAATGTTAACTGTGTCTGCAGGGTTGTCACTAAGATTTCAAGTTGCCGAGTAAATACAACAGGTAGGCAGGGAATCAAACGGCTAGGGATTTCTTTTGGTTCTATTTTTCTTCCATTTTCCAATAAAAGTAGCCCCGGGCCACACTCTTAGTAGCCGGGGAAAACGGCCCCCGGCTCTTGATGACAACCCTGGTCTATGAGCAGTTACCCTAAGCAAGGCCTTGACAATGTATTACATGCACATGTATTTGGTCCTTGAATCTTTTTACCAAAGAGTGGGAAAAATAATTGAGTTGATGCTTTTTTATTGATTTTTTTTTTCAGATGTGACAGTTCCAGGTAGTAAAGAGTTCAAGTCACTTGAAGGATTTGTGAGTGACAAGACACTCAATGCAATTTCTGACATGGGCTTCACTACCATGATGGAAATACAGCATAAGAGTATTGTACCACTGCTGAAAGGAAGGTACATTGTTGTTCTGGAAATTACTATACTGTTACAGCTGACATTTCACAACGCCAGCACTGATTTCCACTCGAAATGATGTCTGAGCACATGTGCAGAGATTCCATACTACCCAGATCTGCAGGGTTGTCACTAAGATTTCAACTTGCCGGGTATATGCAGTTAGAAGGTGGGGAACTGAACAGCCAGGGAGTTCTTTTGGTCTCATTTTCCTTTTGTTTCCTAGGAAAATAGCCAGGGGTCATGCTCATAGTACCCAAGGGAAATCCCTGGCCCCTGGCCCTTAGTGACAACCCTGCAGATCTGGGTACTGCTTCTGATTGGACAAAGAAAATTTTCGACCAATCAAACTCACTACCCAGATCTGGGTAGTGATGGGTCATCAGTATGGACATTTTATGCTTATTCCTCGGCATCATTTTGTGGGGAAACAAGTGGTGGCATCATAAAAAGTTGGCTGTTTTCTTAAGCTAGAAAAAATGGACTTCAGTATAACTCAAGTCAAAAGAGGTGCATGAAATAAGGCCCTGGGTGACACTAGTTGTTTTTAGTGCCATTTTGTGTGTGTTTATCCAGTACCACCCACATTCCCTCGACAAGAACACCTCTATGGAAATTATTGCAGTAGTTATGAGCTGTTTGACGTTTGTAGAATTTAAGGTCAATTTTGTTTGTAGGTCTTGTGGCAAAATAATAATGTTCTAAGCAAAATTGGATCCATATGGGTTGAGATCTTTAAATGAACAGCTGCCACTGAAGATTGCAGTTTTATAAATTAATATAATGCACCAAAGGGTCATTTTGAAGAATTTTGAACAGCTGCCGAACACCTTAAGAAATTATGTTTCTGAAAGGAAACAAGAGCTAAGAAACTGAGAGAATCAAGTTTCAGTTTAGTTCACCCTATATAGAGTGGTTTTCGTTTGAGTGTCGTAAAACCAAAACCAAAGTAATTACTCTGGCCAATCACATAGGACACAGACAATACATTGAACCAATCAAAACTCGAAGTAATTACATGTGGCTGACACAAAGCACGGGAAAATGCATGCGAGCGCGTCACAATTGGCTTTGGTTTTACTTCTGATTGGATGAAAAGGTGGCGCGAATCTTTTAAGCCAATCGCATCGTGTAGAAAGTGCAAAACCAATTACTTTTCGACACTTAAATGAAAACCGCTCTAATGACCCTAACTGGAACTTAATTCACTCCGTTTCCTTGCCTCAGTCACTAAAACTTATTCATCATTTGGCTTTTGGTAGCTGTTTAGCATTCAGCAAAATGCTCCTGACCTACAATGCCTGCTTCAACTGTATGTACACTTCAAGTTTTGTGTTCTGCACAAAATGTAATTACCTTCTAAAACGCAACATTATTGTTAAATTCCAGTGTCGTATTGCTCTAGCCCGCAATAAAGCTTTCTATTATGAGGATTTTGTGAACAGACATGCACGAGCAGCAGTCCCAGGCTATTTCAGTATTACTCATTAAGTGTTGATTTGCAGGGATTTGCTTGGTGCTGCAAGAACTGGCAGTGGAAAGACATTAGCATTTCTCATACCGGCTGTGGAGCTGCTGTACAAGCTAAGCTTTAAGCCCAGAAATGGTATGTCAATTCATGGAGTCTGCATGTTTCCCTGGTAGTGAGTAGAGAACAGAATACAAAATTGTATATTTTTTCCAACGATTCATTGTAGGTTATGATTCCAGAATGTCATCTCAAAGTCAACTTAAGTTGGTATAGATCTGTGTTAATTGCACCGTGAACAGAACCCAGACAGACATTGAATGCAGGCAGTTGTGCCACACAACACAGACTGACATCTGGTCTATTTTTGTTTTAGTTTTTGCTTTGTTTTTTTGCTACTTTAAGAAGCTGTGTCATGAAACGTAATAAAATTCAAACTGAACACAAAAATAGCTACTCAAAATATTAAAAGAAGGTGTAAATACATGTAGCACAGAAAATACAAAATTAAGCACAGATGGACAGACTTGATGAAGATCAAAATGGATTGCAATAGTATTATTGTGGTGTTTAAAAACTTATTAGGCAGCCTAACAGTTTTTCAGAGTTCATTTTCGTTGTCTGTAACATTTGATGTTATGCATGTGAGACATATTTGGGTGACACAAAGCTGTGATTTTGTTGTTTACAAGTAGTTTCTTCACTGATGTTGAGGTCCATAGGAGAAAGTGCTGCCTTTGCAATGACATCTGCAAATGGTTAGACCTTCTAGTCTTCTCAGATAAGGATGAAAAACCGTAGGTCCCATCTCAGAGCACTTTCACTTATCTGGTTCTTGTGGGATGTGAAAGAACCCACACAACTATTCCAAAAGAGTAGGGGAAATAGACCCTGGTAGTGTGGTCAACCCTTTCTAGGCTGGGTGGGTTACATGTATCTGTAAGGACTCACTTACATGTAAATAAATTGGAGCCCCACTCTGTTGCGTGTTCCACACCATATTATGGTGAAAGTGATTAAATAATTAACGACGCCTAATTGGCAATATCAATGAAAAAATAAACTAGACGGCCATGACACAGCTCCTTTAACTTGTTACATTGATTTTTATTGATTTTTACATACAGGTACTGGAGTCATCATAATTTCGCCCACAAGAGAGCTCTCCCTTCAAACATACGGCGTTGCACGAGACTTGCTCAAGTACCATAGCCACACATTTGGGATTGTAATGGGCGGGGCCAACAGGAAGGGTGAAGCTGAACGACTACAGAAAGGAGTTAATTTACTTATTGCAACCCCGGGAAGATTACTGGATCACCTACAGGTGCGTGTTAAATAGGCCCTTTGTAGCTTGTTAATCACGCAGTTCAAAACTGCCATGCCTAAAGGCAAGGGACACACTCTTGTCTATGTAATGATAAAATGTATTACACGGGCGGGTTGCCTAAGAAACTTACAAAATTCAGAATAACTGTTCAAGGGGGGCAAACAGACCACAAGGATAAAAAGAATAAATCATCCATGTAACAGTGCTTACAAAGAAATCCTGATGAACGGTCTGAAAGATGGAAATGGCGTGATGACGGCGCATTTTTCATCTCAGGAATGCGAGTCAATACTTAACTCCAAGTTGCAAATCAGATTCATCGAGGTTTTGATTGTCAAGAAAAAATGATGAATCGATTTGCGAACACTCGTTCTTCCTAAAAGTCTTTAGTACTGTTATGAGGTGGTGAACATTTGTATCCTTTTTTGAATGAGTTAATGCAGTGTGAAATATAGTGTGAAAAAAATAGGCGGTTCTGTATCTGTTTTACAGAATACACAAGGATTTATCTTCAAAAACCTCCAGTGCCTGATAATAGATGAAGCAGACAGAATTCTTGAGATTGGATTCGAAGAGGAAATGAAACAAATTGTCAGACTTCTGCCAGGTGAATGTCCAAAATGTTGTTACATATAAAGAACTTGTGCCTGTGTTGTGTATATAATAATGTTAATCCAGTTTGTCTTATTCGTTGTTCTCCTAAATACAGGTTCGTGCGTTCTGCACGAGTCTGTGAAACGCGGTTATTGTATAAGAAGTTGTCATTGATATTTTAGTCAGTCAATTTTGTAAAAGTTTGGTTAAGTTTCCTACAGTAGCGCAAACTAGTTCCCCCAAGCTAATCGCTGGATCACTGTTTATTTAGTTCGAAGGCAGACGGTGCTGTTCTCAGCTACGCAGACGCGCAATGTTGAAGACCTTGCGCGCGTGTCACTCAAGAAATCTCCCCTTTACGTGGGAGTTGATGATGACCGAGAGACGTCAACAGTTGAAGGGCTCGAACAGGTAACGTGAAAATGGACCTTTCTCAGCTTATCCGCGCATGCTACAACAACGCTGTGAGACTTGTCAGTTTTGGGCTCATCGATTTAGTTTTTGCAGGCTTTTAGTCAACAAGTGAGATTACACTGATGGACAATAAAGTTTAAACATAGACTGCCTTGTTGTACACGTCCGCTATTTCTCTGTAATTTTCTTCTTTGCTCCCCTCTCCCAAAAAGTCAAAAGTCAACTCAATTTTCAAATTTCATTTTCTACAATGTTGAAAAACAAATTGCTTTATGTGAAATAGCCTTCGAAAACAGCCGTTTCTCCTCGCTCTTCGCCGCCAGGCTACATGTATATATGTGAAAGTACTGTCAAGTAGATTTCGCTTTAATTGGTAACACAAAGAAACTTTCATCCACAGACTCAAAATTTAGAACCGCCTGTAATGACTCCATTATTCACTCTGAGAGTTGAAGGGTTATTTGTAACCTTCCCGAATTTGACAGAGGCTTACTAGCGCTTGTGAGAGTACAGTAGTCCGAACCTTTTGCTATTGATACGTTGTGGTTGTTGTTTTTCTTGGTTTGTTTTCGTTTGACTAAATGAATCGGTTCGATGATTCATCATGAGTTTCCCTTTTTAGGCCGCGTCCACACTTATCTTGCTTGTTGGGCTAAAATGTAACGGTCTTGACTTTTACTGAGTATGTCTCAATTCACGTATATATTTTTAACCATGTATAGGGATATATAGTTGTTCCTTCAGAGAAGCGTTTTCTCGTGTTGTTCACGTTCCTGAAAAAGAACAGAAACAAGAAAGTGATGGTGTTCTTTTCATCCTGTAACTCTGTGAAATACCATTATGAACTGCTTAACTACATCGATCTTCCAGTCGCACATATTCACGTAAGTATATTTGAAGTACTGTCGTTTTTGCCGTACAGTGTCAGTCTTTCCAGTCGCCAATATCAGTTATAAATTCGTCTTTCATGCTTACAAATATTTCTTCCCCAGGAATCAGGGAAACTGAAAAACACTATTGTGTAATAAAAATTAGCGATAAAAAGTGACGACGTTTTGACCTCTCTTAAGTCATTTTTAAGTGCGATTAAAAATTAGCATAAATATAGTACAAACTGTTAAAAATAGTTTAAAAGGTAGAATGCCATGAACAATAAAATGCAATAAAATATGTCAACGATAAGTGATATAATATTTATGAACTGGAAAAAAAAACAAAACAATTAAGTAATAATAAGGCTACTTAAACGCCATATAACCAAATAATTTCGAGCGGATATAGAATCGCACTGTTTGTTTAGTATTTGTTTCAGTTCTTTGATAAAACGCGTTTCAAAAAACAAGGCAATCAAATAAAAAAAGCTTCACGAAGATGGTAGGGAACTTACGAAACCATGACGACAACGGTAACGTCAAAAAACAATAGGTTCTATGAGCAAACCAACAACCCTCGCCTATTTTAGGACATTTTCGTTTGTTTCTGTAGGGAAAGCAAAAACAACAGAAGCGTACCACGACATTTTTTGAGTTCTGCAATGCCAGTTCAGGGACCTTGTTGTGCACAGATGTGGCTGCGCGTGGCCTGGATATACCGGAAGTAGATTGGATCGTCCAATTTGACCCTCCCGACGATCCCAAGGTAAGGATCCTTCAAACGCTATTAAGAGGTTCCTCTGTACGTTTTTCGTGAAGCGTGATCGCGGCTATTTTTTTTCTCTTGAAACGTGATTTTAGGTTCTATTTATTCGTAATTCGTGATTGCGCCTCTAAAAGCAGATTTGTGATTAATCGTGAAATAACTGCATGTCACAATGAATCGTGCCGTAAGGCGAACGAGCCGATACCCTACTATCGTGACATGTGAATGAAGACTTGACGTGATTCGTGAACTATATTGGTTTGCGTGAACTGATTGTTTGTAATTTGGCCCATTTTAAGCCGATATAGGCAAAGAGATTGGCAAAAAATGAAGTCGTAGCATGTAAACCTGCCTTACAGCAGATCGTTAGAAGTATTGCCCATACTCTAACATTTCATTGAGATTTCAGAGAAAGCGAATTACCTTTGAAGTGTTAACAGATTAGTTGATAGGAAACCCTAATCCGTGAAACGTGAATTACTTGATTTTACTTGAATGTGAAGGGTATTCGTGCCGCGTGGAAAGTCTCAAAAAGTATTTTGCAAAGGGGTGTAGGGACACCTTTATTAATCCATTTGATCTCCTAGTCTCAGTCAAAATTGTTGGGACACTTTACTGTCTTCTTGCCCTACCAATGTTAGTCTGAAAGATTTGATGAGTTAACTGCGATAAACAACATTGGGAGGTCGAGGAGAAGGGTCAGAAGTAAAAAACAGCCTTCGGTGGAAGTACCCCAACTATTTTCCTTCTATGTAGCCTTTGAGACCGACGAAGATACAAAACATTCCCGTTTAAAATCATTTGTCATACCATATGCTTACTATTACTGTAAGTTGCTCCAACGTTACAGTTTCATTCCTGAACTTTTAACTCCGCACTTTTCATGGCACAATCTTTCTTTGTGGCCTTATGAGAGTCTCATAGAGCCTCATAAGGCCACATACAAGGACGTTGCGTCCAGAGTCAGACCTGAAACGAAACCCTATCCGAGACCGTCATGCCATATGCTATCTCTCTTATAGGAATACATTCACCGTGTTGGTCGGACAGCACGTGGGAATGAAGGGCGCGGTCATGCCTTACTTCTCCTATTACCAGAGGAACTTGCATTTTTGAGATATCTCAAGCAGGCTAAGGTCAGTGGAACAAAACAAAGCTTTGGTAAAAAAGGCCTGGTCTTGAAGGCTACTAAGATCATCTACTACAGTTCTCTTATGCAAAAAGGTGAACCCATTTCGTACTTAACCCCGCATTGACTTGAGGGACCGTTAAACGCTTTTTATACTTAGGAGTAGTAAATGTTTCTGAACTTGACAAGGGTCTAAGTTTAAAACCGTTTTCGTTTAAAAAACAAACAAACAAACAAAACAAAACATTCTTTTCGAAATGACAGAAAATGAAGAAGACATGAAAAGAAAAATATCTATGTTCTGCAAATTAAAGAAGGTGAGGAAGAGGTGAAATGCAAGGCCAGCAATCGCTACAAAACTAGCTCATCTCTAAGCGGCCTTGCAATGTTCTATTAGTTTTATAAACACAATTACAATACCAAACCATTTCAGTTTAATATTTTTTTGCTGCGAAAGGCCGATTTTTAGCCATAGGAACGGTGATCTTTTCACGTGCGAAGATATGTTCTTTTCACGTGGTGAAGATGTCATGCTCCTTTCGTATGTTCTTTTCACCTGCGTAGAGATGTTCTTTTTAGGTGCGAAGATATCGTGTTCTTTTCACTTGTAAACATATCATGTTTTCGCGCGTATGTTCACCTTCTACGTCATTGGTGTTTCGCAAACATCTCTATAGTAAGCGACAAAGGTACACGACAAAGTGGTCGCTTACGGGAGGTGGTAGTCTACGGCAAAAATCAACATAAAGAAGCTCAAACTGAACTTATTGACGTAATTATATAAAGTTAATTACTTTGCAAGCTAAAACTTAGCCAAATAGACAACTGGCAAGTCGCAATAATGTTTCACATTGCCTAGCTCTTGAAACTGTTGAAGCTTTGAACATAACATTTAGCATCAATTTTACGACCACCGTTTTAACGTACGGATCATATGACAGCCATCTTTTTTGTAAGCCAACTGCTATAAATCTGTCAGCCCGCTTGGTCGACGCTTTTAAAAACTGAACTTTTGTGACATTCGAGCAATGGTCTTCTGTCAATCATGCGTGATCATTCCTGGTCGTCGCTTACGAGAAGTGGTCGCTATGATAGATTTGACCGTATAATAAATGCCTTCACCATTTTTACCATTGAAACAGAACCACAGATTCTCATTTCTTTTAGGTACCTCTCAACGAATACGATTTTTCAGCCTCAAAAATTTACAACATTCAGTCACAGGTAAGCTTGCTTTTTAGCGTTGTTTTTGAAATTCAGTTTTGAGTTGACACTTTTTCCAAATTAGGAGAGTGAACAGCTCGGCGAGTTTAAAACCTGTTTCCAATGCCCTGTCCGCAGGCATCCGGGTATTTTTGAAAACGGAGATGTGTGTCCGCACGTAAGCGGCGTTTTCAAGAACCAAAAAGGCAGGTTTTCGAAAACGGTCTCCAGAGTTGAGTTTTTGAAAACGTCGGCTTACCGTTTTCGTTTGAACGGACGAAAACGGAGGTTTTCGAATACGATGATTTCATACATCATAGAGGACATGGCCTGTGAGGGATGCCATCGTATTTCCATTGCTTTGGTGTTAACGTGTGGACGGGCGAAAACGATTCTAATACGCTCCGTGCGGACGGATATTTCTTTTCGAAAACAGAGAAAAAAATTCTTCGTTTTCAAAAATATACGGATACGTGTGGACAGGGCCTGAAATGGCAAAGAAAACATACAAAGGTCTATTGCATTTAAGTTTTCACCTAAAAGTATTTTTTGTTAAATTTGGTTTTCACGAGGCTTAAAACAGTTGTATTTTCTTTCGTAGTTAGAAAAGTTGATTGAAAAAAACTATTACCTACACAAATCAGCGCGGGAAGCTTACAGATCGTACCTTCAGGCATACGCTTCTCACCAACATAAGAACATCTTCAACGTGAACGCGCTGGATCTTCAACGAGTGGCTCCTGCATTTGGTTTTACTGTTCCACCACGTGTTAATCTTAGTATCCTTTAAGGAGTATTTGGTTTTCATCTTTCTCTCTTCCCTTTATAGTTTGAAGAGGAGGTTTGTATTAATTTAAAGAATGTGTTACACGTAATTAGGCCGGAGCGCTAAGTACAGCTAAATCTGCATGCTAGTGTGCAAATCGAACAAGCGTGCAACTGAAAACTCTTCTATTAAAGCCCCTTTAAATTAAGTAGGCGCCAATTTCAGTGTTTATTTTAGATACTACTTAACAGCAACGCCTCGTTAACAAGAAAAATAGGATCAATTAGGTTTCTGGGAAACTGCCCACCTACCCCTCCCCTTAGCCAACATTAACACTTATTTCTCACTTAGGACAAAATGTTGGCCTAGGGGAGGGGTAGGTGGTCAGTTTCTCAGAAACCTAAATTGATCCGGAAAATAGTTACAGTTAGCTCCTTAACCCACTGTAATAGACGTCCACAGCAGCAAAGGCCAGCGAATACAGAAACGGGGCGGAGGTGGAGGGTTTGGCGCCGGATACAGAAGTGCTAAACTACAACAAAAATCTAAGATATTTAACAAAAAGAAGAAAGCGGATGCAAGACAGTTCAGCCGATGAGGCAGGGGTGGAAGTGGATAACCGAGTCTGAAAAGGAAAACACGAACGAATGTTTTAGCACGAAGAGTTATCTATCGCTGATTAAAAACTCCTTCTCTGTGCCTGCTGTTTACGTGGAAATTGAAGAGGTTTTTTTAGCAGCTCGAGGCTTTCAATTAACAATTTGCTCATGTGCTAAGTATTCATGGAAATAATGTTCGAGGCATCACATTCGTTCTCATCTTGTCTCTAACCGATATTTGGTCAAGGTTCTATCAAATTGTTACCCTTTCAACATGATGTCGAGACTCTCTCAGACTTCTTTTTTTTATTTATGATTATAATAGTTCCTTAAATAAAACTATGAAAAACCTTCCAATGAATTAAAGCGTCTTTCCTTAATACTGTGCCTTTTGTAAGACACACTCGGGGATTTTTGTCATTGCCTAGTTTCATATCGAGAGGGGCTGGGTACGAGTCGGTTTATTATGGGATAAAGACAATAGTGTATATACTTGGACTCCTACGGCTAGTTTCGATAGCTACAATCATCGTCAAAAGTGTTGGGAAGGTTGCCTTTTTTACCTCTTCTTTTTCTTCCTCCCCCCACCCCTGGCCCAATGTTGATCAAAACGTTAATGTTTGTGCGCGCAATTGTTCTGTTATATCCCAACATTGAATAGGGGGACGGGGGCTATTTAGCAAAAGAGAAAACTCTGTTTTTTTCAGGATTAAAACTGACTACTGTTAAGTTGTACAACCTTCCCAACTAATTTTGTCTGTGATTGTCTGAAAATTCTGGGTGTGGCAGTAAAAGGTCAAAAATCGACGACTTTTTGTCAGTAGAAACGTCTTCAAAAAACACTCGTAAACAGTACTCTGTTGAAAAAAAATATTTGCCGTACCTTGTTAAGACAATTTTTGGGGCACACGCCTGTTTATATTCGGCATGTTTTGCAACCCGGTAAGCACAACTATTGCTCTTTATGGGGCACAGGAAGAGGGCCAAAATACAAGTGCAAGATTATTTTCGGTGAAAGCTATTGACTATAGCATAGGCTGATATGCTTTAAATGTTAAAGCAAGATATAGTGCGTTCACCAGTTCCCCAAAAAATCATTCGGATCGCTACATATATGCAGCTGACATATTCCTTAGCAGCTCCCCCATTCTTTACAACATTCAGCACATGCCCATTTGCCACGCGAGCAAACTATGAGGCTGAGTGGAAATTTGCTGAATTCTAGAGGCTACTTTCTCTAGCTGAATAACTCTAGTTAAGCCCTTGTGGCACTGCTTTTCGAAACTGGTTTCAGAAAACGAGAACATAGTACGCTCTTGATTTAGATTAAGGCGTCTATTGTCTTCGTTAACCTAATTAAAAAGGATAACACACGCAAAGTCATTACACACCACATTACTCCATTTTCGTAGCCGAAAATAATTCCTTTATAGTAGCGCTAACGACAAGATAGCCTAATGGACTTGTTCGGGGCTTTGCAAGGACTTAACCAAACGAATTTTAATAGACAGTTTAGCTTAATTCTAAGTAAAATACGACATTACTCCATGGATAGCGTTAAAATTAAACTAACTTTGCTAATTGACCTTTATGGGGCACTGTTTAAATGGAGTAATGTTGGGAAACAGTTGTTAAATTTATCCCCGTAGATAAATGCGACAAAAGCTGTCCATATTCTTACATGGTTTACATGTTTTTGCCCTTTTCTTGTTTGAAAGTTGGTTCATTGTGCATATATTTCGCATTTTCTTATGGAGTAATGTGGTGGAGTAATGTGGAAACCCATGTTGTTTACTGTTCTCAAATTATCTGAATGATTGACAGGCGACGCTAGCACAGCAATTTTTATATAAACTCTGAACATGGCTGAATAATTTCTTTTATAGAGGTTCCGTATTACTTTCAGGCCTTACGAAAATAAAGTCTAGAAGATTTTCATTCAGCACTTATCTCACTCCTCCCTCACAACTACAAATTTCATGTTTTTCTAGGATAGTTTAACACCGCCGGAATGAAAAAAAAAAACTTTATTGTGGCAGCCTTTATGCCATTTGTATTTGTAACATCTTTCAAAATATTTGGCTGATAGGAAACAACAAAAGTTAACCAGGAATAATGCCGCTGATGAAAAAGATGCATGTATACATGACAACGACAGCAATCGTACAGTATTTTCTTACTTAAAAATACCCTCATGACTTCTCGCTAAATCTGGTGAAACAGACCAGCTGTGGCCATTCCTTCTACATAGTCCACGCGAAGGAAACGTCCTCTTGCTTCATGAGGAAAATTAAAGGCCTTAAATGTTTTCTTCTGGCGTTCTTAGAAGAAAGCGTTTTCACCCAGTGGATTTTGTGGTCACGCTATGAAATGTCACGCACGTCAGATGCAAAATTCTCCTACATGTATTTATGATTTTACCGAAATATAACCTTTATTATATTTTTTATATAGTTTGGAAAGTGCATTATCAGCACAGTTCCAGGGCGAGATATCTCAACCAAATGTTAAATGCGACAAGTTTTATATGCGTTTAAAGTTGATTTCCTATTCTCCTACAATCATCGTCAAAAGTGTTGGGAAGGTTGCCTTTTTTACCTCTTCTTTTTCTTCCTCCCCCCACCCCTGGCCCAATGTTGATCAAAACGTTAATGTTTGTGCGCGCAATTGTTCTGTTATATCCCAACATTGAATAGGGGGACGGGGGCTATTTAGCAAAAGAGAAAACTCTGTTTTTTTCAGGATTAAAACTGACTACTGTTAAGTTGTACAACCTTCCCAACTAATTTTGTCTGTGATTGTAGTGTTAAAGTGTGCCATTTCATATCCGGTAACGTAAAGGGGTGGATGTGCGGACGATTTAGTCATAACCAAAATTTCTTGGTTGTATAGATAACAGAATTTTCTTACTCATGGTGCTCCGAGTGATCATTTTTTGTTAGGGACTTGAAGTGTTCAGTCTTCCTATCATGGAGCCGTCTCTTAGTTTTACCAATGTAAAATCCTTACAATCCCAACAACAAGCTTTTGCCTTTAGATCTTTGAGAGCGAATAAGGTGGTCCTTGTATGGAAAGAAAGATTTAATACGGCAGGTGTTTTGAAAAAGTAATGAAATAATACAAGAGTAAAACTAGTAAATACAAAAAAAAAAAGGCAGCCACTGCCACCGGACATAACATTAGGTGGGATCACTTTGAAATCTTAGCATCTGGCAAAACAGATTATCATTGTAAGAGAAAAGAAACATTGTTTATGTAAGACCTTAAGCCAGACATCAGCACATTAGCTTCATTAGCTGTTGCCTTTTGCATTCATTACTGTTAAGAATATGCTGAATTCTTAAGCTCATTTCCAGACCCTTTGTAAATTTTTGAATATGTAGTCTCGTCATTTTCTTTAACGGTCACTTAAGATTACCTTTGAAAATGTATGTTGTCCCCTTTTTCCTTGAAAAAATTTTAAGATCCCCCCAAAATCCTCTGCCCTCCCTGTGGTACATGTATACATAATGAATGCGGCCTAGCCACAGGTGTTTGGTGCTGTGGAATAGTTTACCAGTTCAGTCTGTGGAGTTGAGCTTGCCTGGAACACGCTATGACCAAGCGTGAGGTCAAGATGGCTGCAGGATAATAATCAAGTTTTTGTTTCCGCATTCACCGATCGAGACGAAAAAGAGCTCAATAAAAACCCAAGACAGAACAAGGGCAATATCAGGCCATCTTGACTTAACAAGCTGGGTATTTTAATTTCTTGCTGGACCAAGGCGGGAAATATCGAAAGGCAAAATGGGCACATCTTTCAGGCTCGAGTAGCCAGTCAGTACACAGGTATGCGTCATATTACCGGCTTGCGGATGCAGCCATGCTAATAATCCTTAAAATTGCCTGGGTGCCCTGTGGCTGGACGTGCATCGTTTGTCTTGCGTCATCAATTTTTCAAAACAGAATATAAAACGCTGTCGGTAAGGATCAAAAGTCTTTCATGTTTTTAATGCCTCCGGGGAATTTTATTAACCAGTGATTAACTGTCCCAAAATCTTTAAGGAATGGTGTGTAAGCAATATTCCGAAACCGCGTTATTTTAATTTTGACCTAGAACCATTGAAGGGTGTCGTCCTTATCTGTTTGCCTGATCAGGTCTTCAATAGATCCTACGTTCTGTGGCATATTCGTTTGCGGTACTTTGCAGTTTAAATGTCAATTTATTAATATGTTATAAAGCCAGAAAATAAAATATCATTATTTTCTAGATTCTGGCTAAAAAATTTCGGAACTGTGCGCCAGTCCCCCAAATTCTCGCGCTTTCTGCTGAAAACAACCCAGTATAACTCTGAGAAACTTGTCCCCAGTTGTTTTCCACCGGATAAGAAGCGTTATTCGTATTAAAAGAGATTTCTTAAGACATAAAACGGTAAAAGCGAACGATAACATCCGACGTTTCAGAGTAGTCATGACTCCATTATCAAGGAAAAATGTTTTTGATCATGCAAATTACAGCATTTAAAGCGATGTGGCGCGAAAATTAACATAACAGAGTACGAAGATTATAAAATACATAAATCGTTATCCAAAGGATATAATTATTGTTGACATTAATTGCACTATCCATTCGATAGATAGCCTGCGTGGCAGGCGTTAAAAGGGGAAGGGGAAGGGGGAATTTGGGCGCGCGAGAGGCGTTCCCCTCCTCCCTCGTCCCTCGCGCGTGGTCTCGCGCCCTAATTCCCTTCCCCTTCCCTTTCGAACAAAAAATGTCAACAGTCTTTGATGCAAAAAGGCGCAATATTTTGCAATCGGAAAAGGGCTAAAAGCAGGAAGCCGAGAAAAGAGTGAAGGACTGGAGACGGGAGAGGCGGGAGGTCTGGACACTCCTTCCCTCCAAACTAGAGTGTAAATAAATAAGAAACAAACTTTAGTTTTAGGAAACAAGTAGAATGTCAACAGTGCATGTTTGATAGTGTAAAGTTCCCCCTTCCCTCGGGGGTACTTCCCTATAAGAGCCATATAGGTGTGTGCCGCCCCAAAGGGTAGGGTTTTTTAGGCCGCCAACGTTTGAAAACGGGCGTAGACTTTGTTCATTTTTGATCTGGAATCGGGTATGGTTTTCAAGGGAACTACAGGATTGTACAAACGTATTTATTGTTTCAATTCCAAATGAGTAAAAAAGAAAGAGAAATACGCGAATTCGAAATGGATCAGTTTCTAACAAATCTCTTTTGTTGCTGTTCAAATCTAAGTTATGATGGCATAATTTCTTAAAGGCCAGGCTCGAGAATGGGTATGTATTTT